TAATTTTTCTTTAATGTTCTGAATTCACCATCAACTTTTTCTTTGTTTTCTCTCAACATTGCACATTGTGATGAATGAAAGTCAATGTCAATACCCAACATAGCTTTATCTCGTCTCATTTGCTCTAATTCTCTCGACCAACCTTCTCTTTCTGCTTCAAACTTAGCTCTCAAGATTTCAATCTCTGATGGAACTACCTTAATGCGATCTTCCATAGAGATATCCTCATTTTGGTCTGGTAGAGGGATATTTTCATTTTTCTTGACAGATCTCCATTCCTCATAATCAGGAGTTAACATTTCTTTTGCTACTTTAGCTCGGATACAAAAAGTTGTTTTCCAAGCTGTAAAAGCCTCCATTATATTTCTTTTATAATTTTTGTTGTGGAATGCGAACTCAGACGAATGTAATCCAGCAGTGACAGGTACAAATTGACGACCTTCATACTGTTTTATGACCAGAAGTGGTGCATATCCGATTCCTCCCCACAATCCGAGCAGCATTATCCAGTTGTAATCACCACATTTGTAAAAGAATTCCCTTTGGATTTGCCACGGGGCTCGCCAAACAATGTCATCGCTTTGCAGATTTCGAAAGGCATTAATCCACATATCTTTCGTAATTTCTTTCGGCCATTCTTGCTCCAGAAATTCTTTTAATGGTGAGTAGTCCGTATTAAAGCGCCGGTATGAAACCTTTTCTGTTCTCCAGAATGGTACGGATCCAGACATATAACAATTGGGTACACCCTGAGAATCGTCCACCTCCTAGCTTTCTACAAGCGTTTAATGATCTGAAAGTCTCTGCTAGAATTGCAGATGCAGGATTAATCTTTTTAGGTAGCTGCTCAAACAAATCTACTACTGCAGCTTCAATATATCTCAATACTTTTGGGAAGATGACCATACCATACATACCCAGAGCAAAGAGATCGAATCATACTTTAGTGTCTGGATGACTCTGAATAAGTTCTTTAATGTTGGTCCAAGCAATGCATTCGCTTTCGCCCTTTTGTTTTGTACGGGATGCCACCCATTCCTCTCATACTCCAGCAATCTTTGCTAATTTAACTCGAAAAGGTTGAGTTTTAATTGATCTTGAATAAATTCGATTCTCCAAAGCCCCTTCTATATGTAGAAAAGTTGTGTACTCTTCAATAGTAGGAACCAAGTCCTCCTTATTGAGAGTGAAGCAATTGTACCCTGGATTCCAGAATTGAATTAGGGCTCTAAGTAAGTCATCATCAACTTTGACATAGAGCAAATATGGGATGTCTCCGTAAGTCTGATAAAACTGTAACTTGTTGTTTGAGTCCCAACTCTCCCAAATGCCTCACAAATCTTGCATATCATTTCTTTTTAGCGAAAATGGAGCATAACTGGCTAAGTCAGATACATAGTCATCCTGCAGACTGTCTCCTCCTTGTCTTTGTAAGTCCTCAGCCCACTGTCTTACTTCTGAGTATAGAACTATTTGATTTGAACATTTTTTATCCATGGATGAAGGTTTTCCAATGAGACAATTAACACGAGGATCAATGCCTTTTATCCTGTATGATGCTATGCAAACAGAATAAAGAACACAAAAAAATGAATTAGTTACATAATAAAGGAAAAATAATTTGATAATAATGTCCATCTAAACATTTCTATTTAAACATGCTTTCTTCATACTTTAAATTCACATGCAATTTATTCAGTAAGAAAATAAATAAATTAAAAGAAAAGTTAGAATTCATTTCTCCTGTGTGTACACCTATTTTGGACAAAATTTCGGCATGGCTCCAGATCAGAAGAGTTTCTAGGGTTTTTTATATGCAGAGTTTCAGATTTAAGAATAAAGGTACCCGAATTGTCTTTGTTAGTGCCCCCTTGGGCTGTTAACCCTCAATCCTAGTCCATCACAGACTAAAGTGGATCGAGTTTAATTCGAGGGGATACACTTCTCTATGCCTGACACGGAAAATAAATTCTCACGAAGACATAGAGCATATGAACCCCGAAAGTTACTTGCTAGGTCTGACACGGAGAATAAATTCTCACGAAGACGTCGCTTTCACTCCCACTTAAAAGGGACAAACTCAATTATAGAGCTTTATGTTATGCAATGCAAGTGTTGTGTGTGAGGAGAAATGTTCAAACCTCTGACAGAAAAATAAACAATGAAATAAAATACTTGCAAGTAAAATGAAATATAAATATAAATACTATAAAAATAATAAGTATATAAAAAATTTGAAAAGAAAGAATTATAAATTAAATATATGAATTTTTAATTTATAATTAATAGAGACAATTTATAATTGATTTTAAAAGTTTGACCAGCGTCCCCAGCGGAGTCGCCAAGCTGTCGTAACCGGTTTTCGTCCGGGCACGAATTTTTTACTTGGCGGGAAAAATAATGTAAATAAATTAATGATTTTGATTTTTTTAAAAAAAATATTTTGGGAGTCGCCATCGGCCTTTTGGGTCAGGTAGGTCGAATACCTAAAAATCATCTTTTAAAAGAGTTTTTAAGAAAACATCGATTAAAAGATAAATTGATATGAGTTTTAACCAAAAATATATTCTTTTTAATAATAAAAAGGGATTCGTGGTCGGTTACGTTTAGGGAAGGATTAGCACCCCTACAACGCCCAAAATTGGTACTTTTTAATTATAAATTGTCTCTATTATTAGAAATTAAAAATTAAAAATTCAAAATATATTTAATTTATAATCCTATTATTTTAAAATTATAATTATGAAAAATATATATTAATTTATATATATTTATAAATAAAATATTTATTTATTTAGAAATATCAGAAAAGGACTTCTAGGTGCCTTAAGACAGCTCTTTTCTTTGATATTAAAAAATAAATAATTAATTAAAACAATTAATATATAATTTATAAAATAAGATATTTATTTATTTAAAAATATCAGAAAATGAACATCCAATTATTTTAAGACTGCCCTTTCTTAATATTGGAAAATAAATAAATATTAAAATAGGATTAAAATAAGTTAAAAATAATTAACTAAGATTTTAATAAATAAAATACATATTATTTATTATATAAATATATATTTATGGTTAAATAATAATAATAATAATAGTAATAATAATTAAAAGTAAACATATTAACATATAACTAACAATAAAATTAAAACTATATATAAAACTTGTAAAAAATATAAATAAAAATTGAAATTAGTGACTAAATTATAAACTAATAGCATTAAATACCTAATTCATAATTAATTATTTAAAATTACAGGGATTAAACATGTTATTTTACTCATTTATTAATTTATGGACTAAAATAAAATTATATTAAATTCGAATGTCAAATTAAAATAAATTAAAACATGCTCGGGATTAAAATAACATTAATTAGAATTAAAGGACTAAATCGGTTATTTGTTTAAAATATTTATGTCAGTGACTAAATTATAAAGAAATAACATTAAGAGATCAAATTAAAAAGTTCATAATTTGATTTCAGTTACTATAATGAAAAATTACAAAGTTACTGGACTACGTACGGGCTTTAACTTTTAATTAATTACAGACAGACCCCTCCCCAAAACGGCGTCGTTCGGGGAGGGGTATTTAAGTCCCGAAACGGCTGGCCCGAAGGGCCAGCTCTCATTTCTCTTCTCTCTCTAAACTGAGAGAGCTTAAACTCTCTCTCGCTTCTCTCTAAAACTGAGAGAGAGCGCCCCGGCCGACAGTCCTATGCCGTCGTAGAATTCGCCGCCGGCCACCGTTTCCGGTGGTCGAAAAACACCAAAATTTCTCAAACCCTAGATCCAAAGACCTTAAACTCAATTCCAACCTCATTTTACCCTAAAAAGCCATAGATTTTCCTAAATCTAAGAAAATACCTTCGGTATTTTTAATTTTTCGGCGACGTTTGAAGTTCTCCAATAAGCTTTTCTTCTTCTCTCCTTTTTCTTTTCTTTGGTTTTTTTTTTGTTGCTGTGTTGTTGGTTCCCTGGTTGCCTTCTCTCTGTCTTCTCTTTGCAGGTTTGGTTGATGGCTATAAAAGCCATCGACGGCGCTCGTCTTGGACCGGGTAAAAGGGTTGTATTGTGGTGAGTCACCAAACTATAGTGGTGACTCACCGTAGCCCTCAATATGGACGGTCCTCTTCATTTCTTCTGGAGGCTTCGTGTCAGAGACTGAGCGGCGTGGAACGGTGGCGGTGGAGATAGCAAAAGCGGCGGCTGGGACATGGCCCTAGGGTATCATACCCTAGGGTTTGCATCTGGAGGTCCTTGGACCGTTGGATCAAGATCTGATCCAACGGCTGAGAGATGAGCGGCGGCTGAAGCTGAGATCAAATCCTAAATGGGTTTTAGGGTTTTTGTTAGGTTTGGGCCAGTCTGTTGGGCCTGCAATATTGTTTGTAATAATAATATATAATAATAAATAAAATTATAATAATATATTAATAATAATATTAAAAACAAATGGGTAAAACAAATTAGTATCTTCACATAGGATGGGTCTAGAGGGTTACAATATTTTTCAAAAGATTAAGGAATTCAAATGGACTAATATTGATCTGAAACTACTTATCCAAATTTTACCTTATAAAAAGAATTTTCATCTTAAACATTACTTGAAACAAAAAAATTCTAGATATTAATGTCTCATTACGTCCTCAAACTCTCATGTCACTTCTCCCGTTTTGTAGTTGTGCCACAAAACCTTCACCGGAAACCATTGATGATCAAGGATTGACTTCACCAGAAAAGACCAGCTGACATTTACAAGCTCAAGTTTGCTCAAACACTTGAAATTTTAAATGGGGCTTCACTTCCAACAGAAAATAAGCTCAATGAAATCAGAAAGTTCTGAGGTTCTTCTATTCATCTTCTTGCTTTTCTATCTTTTCAGTTTCCCACCTTCCCTAATATTACTCCCCCCCTATGTTGCATTAGGAAGTTGCTTTACATCAATAGATATATGCATGTATGTATGTATTAGAGGAAAACAAATACATCAAGTTAGTGCTCATAGAAACTATGCCTTCGAGGTAAACATTCTTCGTAATCAAATCTTCTTAGACCACATGAATAACCTTTCCTGAATTTATCGTATTTCCTTCTTACTATGACCTCAACAGAAAAAACAGCAGAAACAGGTCTGTGATCAGAAAATCTGGATTCTCCACGAAAATAAGATAATAGCTCGATGCCAGAACCGCGCCATAGTATCCTATCACACCTGAACAAACATTTCAAGTTCATCAGAAAGTAATTCTGTTTAGCATTGATGTAAGAAGGCGAAAATACCATGCAGGCGTTCGGCGTTTCTTCTTGGATTTGCCATTTTCTCCGACATACGAATCCGAATTATATAAATACTTGTAAGTAGGAGCAAAGACTATCCGTCCCTCTTTGAAACCACTGAATACTCTTCCGGCTTCTCTCTCCTTATTTAACTGCATTCAATTGAAAATAACAGATCAGTTCAAACATGAAAACAACTTTTACCACTTCACTGTAACCCACACCCTCTTTTGTTTGCTTTTTAGTTGTCTATTTGATGCATAGAGAGTAATGGTTAAATACAGACATAACTTTTGACTTAACACAGAAAGATTTTATGCGAGTCTAAAATATAACCGGTTAATAGAAGGCTAAAAAAAGGTTGTAATCAATTATAATAAATTTTTTTATCAAGTGCCCAACTCTTTTAGAATAAATTGGGTAACATTTTAGGTTGAAATTAAAAATATTATGTTTCTAGTAATAAATCATGTAAATTGAATAACTATTCACGGAGCTAGGATTAAATACTGAGAGGGGCTAATTTTCTTCACAATGAAAGAACAAGGTTTAATGAAGTATTTAAATATAGAAATTGGGAGGGGAAAAGTTCTTATTTAATTAATATTTAAATTAAAAAGGACCTAAAATGCTATTACACCAAAAAATTGGGAGGGGCTATTCCTTAATAGCTTCGTCCCGGACTATTCTGGTTGTAACCTAAAAAAATATTTTAAAATTTTCATGTAACATTCTTGATTGTAACCAAAATTATTATTAATTGTGTAACTTTTTAGAGTAAACATGATAACATGTTAGATTAAAACCCGCCCTAACGTAATATTCTTGATTGTAACCGAAATTATTAGCAATTGACTAACTTTTTTTTAAGTAAATATGACAACATTTTAGTTAAAATCCGTAACAAATTAGTCTTACACAGCAGAACTATCGAGGATTTTCATGAAAGCAACATCTAGAAAAAGGACTGGCCGACTTTTGACCTTTTTTGTAGTTTCTTGATGGCAGAACATAGTTGTTATTGACCTTTGCTTATATTCATGAAAAGGGTTGACATTATTATCTCTATTTCATATGCAAATATATGATATTACTATCTGTTGGTATTTCCAATGCAATCACTTTCTCGGAGTTTCTTATGTCATTAAGCCATATGTCTAACCAAAACGAAAGCATGACTTCACAATAATGATACATTGAGTTATTGACCATCTTTTAAGTAGTTTCAATAGGGTTTTTTCTTCAGAACTAGACAGGTATCAGTATCCGTCACTCGCACCAGAGTCTAATTTGGTGAGAATTATTGATCTAAAAGATTTTTTTATTAAATTATTTAGAATAAAAGTGGAAAGTGATAAACCTGATCTTTCTCCAGAAGGGTGTCCCAGTTGTTTTCCTCCAACAAGCTCCTGGTTTTCTCATAGCTCAAGGCTACCCGATAATTCAAATCTCCAAGCCATATTACTCGGCTGTAATATTTAACAATTGATAGATCAATGACATAATGGCAATATATTTTTTCCTTTCAAATAAAAAAGGGTCCAATGGTTATATTCGAACGCAAACATACTCATGCTCAATAATTTTCTCCGGGGCTCGGTGATTGGGAGTTTTGCAAATGATGGGAAACTGTATGCCTCTGAGAATCTCAGAAACATCGGTATTCCTCTTGAGCTCATCGCCTTCTTTTTCACCTGAAGCTAAGTGACTGCACACAAAGCAAAAGCTTGTTTGGTGCAACGATATGCTTACTGCTATACACCCCTGCAAATATTTGATAATTTATTCCCTAAATCAGTTAAACTTTTTGTGGTATTGTTCTCAAGAATATAATCGATCATAATATAATAAAACTGAGAAGATCAAATCCTCATCTTTTATATGCTAACCTTGTTGCCAAGGCGTTTCATTATTCCTCTTCCTACAGAGGACAATCTGACATGACCAATGTATGGCATCAACTCCTTTCGAGCCCAAATCGAGAGGAACAGTCCGACCATCTGCTTGTCGGTGATAAGGCGGTAATTCATTTCTTCAGTTGAACAAAGTGGTAACATCTCAGAGAGTGCAACCAACTCGCTGATGCTAGTATTGTAAACCACAGGTAAGGGACTAAGGCCTAGATCATTTGCTAAATTCCGAATCGCCTTTTTCCTTCTGTACTCCCCATGTGCGTAATCAACGGGGCAGTTGCAAGTCTTGAGAAGGCTACTCCCAGCCCTCAAATTCTTACTCAGGATTTTGAGAACTTGTTTATCGAAAATGTGAGGATTGGTCGGTGATTTCAACTCCTTGCAGGCATTAGTATTGGAGCTTTTTGAATCATTGCCAGTGGCTGGTGGCGAGTGCTTGGGACTCTGACGTGGCTTGTTAAGTGCTTGGTTTATAAGAGCCAGCCATTTTATAGCCGGTTCATTGTCTTCACTTCCTAGAACGTTTCCAGCATTGAGTGGAACAATTTCTTGAAACCTGGGAAATCAATATTCTAATTGTAAAACAAGCTCCAAAAACTCTCATTGCAGAAGCCAGAAAGCAGTATGAATCTGGAAACAAAATCAAACAACTCATGACAAATTGACACTATCTTTCTTATCATTTTACTAAAGGCATCTCCAAGTTCATCTTTCTAGAATAGAGCTTAAACTTGTGTTCATGAGGTATTAAACAATGCCACAATAGACCAGAAACTGAAAAAAGAACAAAATTCCGAGTCAATCTTACCCACAAACATATATATCTGCAGAGCCCTCCCTTAGAAAGAAATCTTCCAGGTTCATGTCACTGTTGGGTGTCTTCCCTCCCACGTTCCAGGTTGCAACAAATATCCTGCAAGCTCAACAATGGGATTTTCCTGCTGTAAGATGTAACATAGGCCTAATCAAAGTAAAATAACAACTTCAAACCACAACATGGAATCCATACCGAAAATCTCGAATTTCAGTCACTGAAGCCATGGAACACTCGAAATTCGAGAGATTCAGCCCTTCGAGCAACCCGCCACTCCCCCTTCTTTCTGAAAGTAGATAAGAATTAGCAACATGACGTACACTGTTTTTTTCCCCTCTCCCAGTTCTATATTCTAATACCATCAACTTTGTCAATGATAAAGGCCAAAGGGTCAACATCAGAACTGGAACTTCCACTGATCCATTTAGATTTTCCCCCATCTCAATTTCTAATATCAAACTATTTCTTGTTAGGTAAGCTACCAAAATTTTACACTAGATAACAACAGCTTAGTCTCCTTGATGATGGCATAAGAAATGAAAGCTGTCAAGCACTATTATTTTCTATGTTGCTTCAACATTTCATTTTTCTTGATGTACTCATGTCTAACACATTTCTAAACATAAGTATAGACATTATTTTTAAAAATCAACCCTCAGAATGTATGAAAAAAACATAGAAACATCAAATAAATCCTTGTCAAACACATCCTCGTATCAACACACATTCGAGTCCAAGTGACATTTATGTATGAACATTTTCATAACCACATCCTAAATTGAAAATAGGGTTAAATGCATCTAATACACTAATCATACCTAAGAAATTTCTTCTTATGCAAGGAGAGGCTTCCAAAAAGTCCTTGTTCGTCGATGCAATCTTAATCTTCTTCTCCAAATCTACCAAATATAATCCATAAAATACTTTAAAAAAACTGAAAAAGAAAAGGAAAATTGATAGTATGATAAGGATGATACCGGCAGAAATTGTATCACAATCTGGTGACGCAGAATCATCGTCTGAGCCTCCTCTACCTCGTCTCTTAGAAGAAAAAATCTTTGCAATATTGAACTTTAACCCATTGCAAAATTAAACAAATCCAATCAAATATAGAACCAATTGTTTAGCAATGCATAAAATCAAAAAGTATAATAAACCTTCTTTTTCTTGTCATTTTTGACGGAGTTTTCAGGAGAGTTGGCAGTCTGGTGTAAGCGATCTTCATCATCCCCAAGTTGGCTTTCATTCATTAGGTTACTTAGAAAGTAAGAAATAACTGTTAAAATTTACAATACTCTTAAACCGTTAAATGACAAAGATTCATATCGAAACACAAAATAAAATATGGGTCTTCGAGTTTATTAATCGTGGTAACTAAATGAATTTGTTTTTCTTTGATCTGTTTCAAAGGAGGAGACATTGCCGCCAATTGTTCCGGAGAGTTTAATACTTATTATAAGAGGGTCAGCAAAGAAGGGATTATATATATCTGCATGTACAGTCAGTTTTCTGAATTAATCTGTTTAACTACCAATCATGCTCAATAAATATAGTGTCTCATCCTATTAGACCAATTGATTGTCGATGAATATATTATCTTATTTAATAAGTAAAATAAAGGGTATTGTATGTAATTAGTCGATGAATTGTTCTATGTTACTTTATTTATTAAAAAATTGATATTTATTTATAAGTCATTCAGTCTATTTTATTTTATTCATAGAATAAGATGATACATTATAAAATTCATACTCCGATGATACATCATATATAAATACCAGAAAAAAAAATCCCTTGAGTCGAAGTTGACAAATTAAAAAACTGCTATATTGTTGCTTTGTCTACGTACTTTAGAACACATCATCTTTACATTCATCCATTCGATTCCTTTCTCAGCTCTCTGCTCTCTTCTTTCATTATATTTATATTTTAAAGGTTTATTGGTATAGAGTTATTGATAGACACGAGTGGATTGCATCAATTATAGGCGGTTCATTTTTTTATTTGAACAAAGAGTTGTAGTCGGTGAGAAAGAAAAATAATTAGAGAGAATCTAGATCTTTCTCTCGATCTAAATTGAGAGACTTTTATAGTGACTCTTACTATTGTCATCATGCATACGAATATAAGATCATGATAGCTACCGAGTAGAGCTCGAGTGTTGCTGAGCTCGACTCGAACTCGAAAAAGTTTAAAATTAGGCTCGACTCTACTCGAAAACTCGTGAGCTGAAAATTATCAAGTTCAGCTCGAACTCAAAATATAATATTGAAACTTGACTCGAACTCGAAAAGGCTCGAACTCAAAAAAATAATTCAGGAGCTCGATTGAAGGTTGAGACTCGAGCTCAATTGAAACTCGATTTTGAGCTCGAATTCAAATTCGAATTTGAATATACAAAAATCTTATATTACATTTAAAAATATATTTTAGAAATTTATAATTATCAATAATATATTTTTAATAATGTAATTTAAAAAAATCTAAAATTATAATATAACATTTTTTTCGAGTAGCTCGCGATCTTTACGAGTCGAGTATTAAGTAGCTCATTTTAGCTCGTTAAGAATTCGATTCGAGTTCATCCGATTCGAGTGTTGATCAAACTTTGATCGAGTCGATCTCGAGTAACTCGCAATCTGTCTTGTCTCATTTACAATCCTAGATCACGCTAAAGAGTAATGGTTTCCCAAGAGATGTGAGACTCAAGAGGCCCTATATTCATAGATGTTCATTTGTGGCCTCCACTGTGAATGTGTCTTTCGGAGGTCTTGATATCCGGAGACAATCTTAATATCTAGAAGTACAATACTTGTCTCCCTTAATCGAAAGAATATTATAAAATGACTTGACTTGAAATTGGTGTTGAGAGATATGTCCTAAATTAAATGTACTACCAATGGAGATTGTTTTAATGATTGAGATGTGCACACATATCAATGTGTTAATGGTGAGATATGCACACATATTAAGGAGTCTAAGATATCTCTGATAAGAAAAATAGATTTTATCTTAACCACTTATATTTCAATACATGATTCTTATAACGTTTGGGTCGATATAAATAAATTATTACTTCTGCATAAGTCGTGCTGATAACATGTTGTAAAATAAAGAAAAAAATAAAGATGAAATATATGAGAAAAAGAAAGATGTGAAGTGTATTAAAGGACTTCATTAACCTCTTTATAGCCATAAAAAGTAGATATAATATATAACTCTAATATTAATGAATATTGAAGACCTGATAATAATATATATCAAAATCTTAATTATAGATAAAGATAGACATGTACATAAATAAATATTTATAATAAATAATAATATATTAATAATTATAAAATAAATTATAAAATACTATAAGATTATATTTTGTAACATAAAATACAATATTAATTAATGCTTAAATTTGATATATTATAAAATTTAAATAAATAAAATTTAAATTATCTATAATTAAAATTAATTACATTTATTTTATAAAAGAATATTAGTTATAACATAAATTTATAAAACATCAATTAAATAAAAAATAATGAAATTATTATTTTATTTGTTTAAGCAACATGGTCAAACCAAAGCATTCTTCAGTTTACACTTCAAACTCGAAATCTATGCTGTTACCTGTTTCTCTGCATCTCTCCACCAATGGCAGTCGCTTCCAACTCGCTTGTATCTTTCACTCACGGCTCATGGAGTCAATCCGGAAGGCACTTCCAGCTTCTTCCTTCCCCTTCTCTTCCTTTGCCTGGATCTCGTTCTCTCTCTCTGAAGCTCACTCGCCGCTCCAACTCACCCCTACTTTGCTCTTTAGATGCATCCAACAGCACAGATAAGGAGACACCCATTGAAACAAGTACATTTTGTTGTTATATTCTCAATTTTCACTTTTTGAAATCTTTATGTTCTAAAATGAAATCTGGGTTTGTTTCTCTTTTTCCCATTATTTATCAGGGTTCCCAGCTTATCCTAGTGTGATGGACATTAATAAAATTAGAGAGATATTACCACACAGGTAAGCAAATTATCCAGTGTTGATGTATTATTTTTTAAGTTTTTCTTTTGCTTGTTTCAGATATATGTTTACTGGTTTTTTGGGTTTGTAGGTTCCCCTTTTTGTTGGTGGATAGAATAATAGAATATAATCCAGGGGTATCGGCTGTTGGTATAAAGAATGTGACCATAAATGATAACTTTTTTCCTGGACACTTCCCTGAGAGGCCTATAATGCCTGGTGTTCTCATGGTTGAGGTATCTTCTTTTCCCTTAATGGTTGGACTGACATTTAATCACTTTGTTTATGATTTAAATTTTGTCAATTTTTATTTCAGGAGTTGAATGTAGGATTTTATCATATATATAGCATTGTATTGTCTCTTATAATTTTTTTTTGTTATCGATCTAATAAATGAGGTAGTACTCTGGTCCTGCTTTCTGTTACCTAAATTACCACCAGTAGTAATATGGGTAGGGGTGTAATCAAGCCGAACACACTCGAGAAGCTTGTGCACATCTTGTAGTTTGTGACTCGAAGCATGGCTTGATCCCGATTGTGTTTTGTTTTAAGCTCTAGCATATAAACATGAAATTGCTTGGCCTCGCTCTATCAAACTATTTTACCTTGTCTAAAGTTATCTTAATCATCATACTCAACTTAAAGCTCAATTATATCAGTTGAGATACATTTGTACTAATTTTGCTTAACTAATCAAAGATGAATTGACTGGTTAATGTTTCTCAAAAATAATTTGGCATCTTCTCTATAATCGAATTTTCCAAAGTGTGCAATGTTTCTCCCTCCCTCTTTTTCTTGTCTTTTCATTTATACATATTTCATGATGTTTCTTTTCCATTAGTAACTTGATACCCGGTTCTGCATTCTGAATGTTAGAATGTTTTGATCTTAAAGATGTTTTTTCTATGAAAAGTAGGTGCTTGGATTATCCAGTTTCCATAAACTAATTTATTAAGATCTGTACAATGATGATGAAATTGCTATTTCTTTCTGCATGCATGAAACCACGGGTGTATACTGCCAGCTAGTTTGTATTTTGGTCAATACTCCATGGTTATGTAGTTAGATAGTAGCTTATTTCCTTTTGGCACATACCTCCTTATTCAGTCACATAAATAGAGTAAGGTTGTGTAGACAATCTTACTGCAGAGGTAAAATTTGGTTGTATGAAGCCTTGGTAGCAGTTTGAGGTAAAAGCAGAGGCTTAACCATAGGTTTGGTAGATAATCAGCTGTGAAGTCTTTTCCACCCCAGAGATGCTACTGGCTGTGATATGAACTTTAGTAGGGCATGTTAGCGTTAATAAGTACTGTCATTATATTTGATTCTTTGTTATTCAATGTTTTTTTTTGTTGAAACTCAAGCTTAAAGCTCCTTGCACATTTGCAGAAAATTGTGGCTAGATTTTATTCCTTTTGAGATCTTTGTTTCTTCATGTAATATCTCGGCTCTTCTGGCTACTATGTATTATTTTCCATTTATATCCTTTGATATCCTATGGTGGTTTCATCTCTAAGACACTATCTTTTGTGTGTCTTGTCTTTGCATAAAAATCCCCAGATATATTTCCCCCTGTATTCTATGGTAGCTGATTCTACTGGAATTTTGTATAGGTTATATTTTAGTTAAGACATCCATAATGGTGTTTCTCTTGTTAACACTACAGACTAATTAATTGAGAAAACCATCAAATTTTGACTTACAGTTGTAACCACCTCAATGCAGTGTTTTATTCCAGCTGTGCTTGGGGGGTGGGGGGGGGGGGCTAGTCCTTTGACTTGAATGATAATGCTGAGGAACTTAAGTATAATGTTTTCCATATCTTGTTTATGGCCTTTTCTACAATGGCTTAGTTCCAAATTCGTAATGGTGTTATAGTGTCACTGCACTTCAGGATGTTTATACCATTCGAGTATTTTCACAATCAGCAGTAAATTGGTTTGATTTGATTGTCTGCCACTCTGCCCTGTGCCACTTATTCACATCAAGTCATCTTTATAGGTGCTTCGGGTACACTTCACCTTTTTTAGCATTCTTTATCCTGAATAATATGAACGTTCGAGGAGAAAAATCAATGGCATTCAGTGAAACTAGTAGAAGCATGGAACAAACATGCTAATAGAGACAACATTGGTGTTTTATTATTATTGGCTGATTCCATGGTCAGAATGCTTAGTTTTCAATCCAGTATGCTAGAAAAGAGATGAATGCTAAATCTGTTTTTTCTGTCACTTT